CCCTGAGCCGGTGAGATTTGAACAGCCAAACTGCAGAACTGCAGTCAGCTGAAGTAGCCTGCAGTGCTGCATTTAACCACTGCGCCACCTCGGCTGCGTAATGGAGTGAGCTCCCGTGACTTGTCCCAGCTTCTGCCAACCTAGCAGTTCGAAAACACATTAAAATGCAAGTAGAAAAATAGGAACCACCTTTTGTGGGAAGATAACAGCGCTCCGTGTACCTTCGGTGTTTAATCATGCTGGCTGCATGACCCTGGAGACGTCTTCAGATGGCTCTAGCTCTTCGGCTTTGAAACGGAGATGAGCACCGCCCCCTAGAGTCGGGAACGACTAGCACATATGTGCGAGGGGAATCTCTACCTTTACCTTATAGTTAGGACAGAAAAAAATCACTTTAAACTTCTAAAGATACTAGCTTTATTAATGTTAAATGAAATAGGACTATTATCAACATTATCATCAATTCTGCAACTGGGTTTCTCCATTGTAAAGGGGAAGGGGTGTCTCAGCATCATTTTTATGAATTTCTCCCCTTTAAAAAAATGGTATATTTCAATATTCTTTCTTCAAAAACAGTATCATGTTTGATGCGGTGCATTAACAGGCCTGCTTTAATCTTGGCTTTGTTGTGGTGAGGGAGCTTATTTGGAGAGGGGGAGACTTTGGGTAAAATCCAGAATCTTTCAGTTCTCAAAAAAATTTAATAGGGAAGTTTGTTGTCCTGTCGTTCTTAGATAGGCTGATACTCTCAAGCTAAGGAGGGTTGAACCTGGCTAATATTTGGATGGGAACCCAGGCTGGGAATGTGGTTCAACATGGGCTGATTTTATTTATTTATTTATTTATCTATTGCCTTTATTATTTTTACAAATAACTTCATTTTCTCTGCAACAACAATCCTGTGAGGTGGGTTGGGCTGAGAGAGTGACTGGCCCAAGGTCATCCAATTGGCTTTCATGCCTAAGGTGGGGCTAGAAATCACAATCTCCTGGTGATTGGCCCAGATTTACCCAACTGGCTTTCATGCTTAAGGTGGGACTAGAAATTACCATTTCCTGGTGATTGGCCCAGATTCACCCAACTGGCCTTCATGCTTAAGGCGGGACTAGAAATTACCGTTTCCTGATGATTGGCCCAGATTCACCCAACTGGCTTTCATGCCTAAGGCGGGACTAGAAATCACAATCTCCTGGTGATCGGCCCAGATTCACCCAACTGGCCTTCATTCTTAAGGAGGGACAAGAAATCACAATCTCCGGGTGATTGGCCCGGATTCACCCAACTGGCTTTCATTCTTAAAGTGGGACTAGAAATCACAATCTCCTGGTGATTACCCTAAAGTTAAGCAGCTGGCTAAGGTGGGACTTGAACTCACAGTCTGCGGCTTTCTAGCCTAATGCCTTAACCACTAGACCAAACTGGCTTTTCAGGCTGGGAACTTGAAAAGACATTCCAGTAATAGCAAATAACTGTTGCCAAGAAAAAATACATGGATGGCCATATTTGGTTTGGAGATTTCGGTTTAGTTTGGTTGTTCTCTTTTTGTACACAAAACCTACCTATGTCAAGGAAGACAAAGGACGTGCTTTTAGCTAGATCCCTGATTGTTGATTTCTATGCAAAAAAAACCTTGATTTACAACCACATTTGACAACAAAATTTTTGTTGCTAAGCAAGCCAGTTGTTAAGTGAGTCTGGCCTCATTTTATGACCTTTTTGGCTACGGCTGTTGAAGTGAATCACTTTAAGTTAGTAACATGGCGGTTAGGTGAATCTGGCTTTTCTTGTGGTCTGCCAGTGGCCAGCGGAGCTGGCAACAGATTCGGACAGTGAGGAGGTTGAGAAGGAACATGGGCCAGTCTTGGAGGCTGGGAAGACTCTGCATTGGAGGCAGAGATGGGGCCAGGGCTGTCTGACAGTTATCACCTGCCTTCGGGGTCAGACATCAGTGCGGCAGAAGAACAGCTGGAGCCTGTTCCCAGTGTGCGTATGCGCAGAGTTGTCTGACGAAGGGAACAGCTAAAGAACAGGGGGCAACTTGGGAGTAAGGCCACAGGTGGACGGTGAATGGCCCCTCCCATAGGGAATAAAAGAGGAGCGAAAGGGGAGTGGAGTTTGCAGGAGACAATTAGTTCATTCCTTGCATTCTTGCCAAGTATTGAGGCGTCTGAAAGATATCGGCCTGGCCACTCTCCAAGCCTGATAAAGATCGGTAATTGCAAACTATCTTGAAAGACTGTGGGAGAGGAAAGACTTTGCTGGAGAGGAATTCACTGTGAATTAAATAAAAGGGGTTTATCAGGACTCGGACTAGACTTCGTGCTGCTGGCGAAGCCTAGGTCAAAATGAATCAGTTTCGATTTGTGTGGCCTTCAATTCTCAGAATTCTCCAGCCAGCCATGCTGGCTGGAGAATTCTGGGAGTTGAAGTCCACCCTTCTTAAAGTACGCAAGGTTGGGAAACGCAGAGAAGTCTAGGATACATTGGGAAGACAACATTGTGTGTGCTTTTCTGAAGTTGCTTTGTCCTTTTTTTTTTGTCCCCTCCTCCAGTTCTTCCTGTGCTCCGTCTATGTCCCCATGTGCACCGAGCAAATCAACATCCCGATCGGCCCCTGCAGCGGCATGTGCCTCTCCGTCAAAAGGCGATGCGAGCCGGTCCTGAAAGAATTTGGCTTCTCCTGGCCAGAAAACCTGAACTGCAGCAAATTCCCACCACACAACGACCACAATCACATGTGCATGGAGGGGCCGGGAGACGAAGACGTCCCCCTTCACAGCAAGGCCCCCTTGCACCCCGGCGAGGAATGCCAGAGCGTCGGGTCAAACTCGGACCAGTACATTTGGGTCCGGAGAAGCTTGACGTGCGTCCTCAAGTGTGGCTACGACGCTGGCCTCTACAGCCGGTCCGCCAAGGCATTCACCGACATCTGGATGGCCGTGTGGGCGAGCCTGTGTTTCATTTCCACCGCCTTCACAGTCTTGACCTTCCTGATTGATTCCACTCGGTTTTCCTATCCGGAGCGGCCCATCATATTCCTGAGCATGTGCTACAATATTTATAGCATCGCTTATATTGTCCGGCTGACCGTAGGCCGAGAAAGGATTTCCTGTGACTTCGACGAAGCCGTAGAACCTGTTCTCATCCAGGAGGGGCTGAAGAACACCGGATGCGCCATCATTTTTTTGCTGATGTACTTTTTCGGCATGGCCAGCTCCATCTGGTGGGTGATCCTCACCCTCACGTGGTTCCTGGCCGCCGGGCTCAAGTGGGGCCACGAGGCCATCGAGATGCACAGCTCGTATTTCCACATTGCCGCCTGGGCTATCCCCGCCGTGAAGACCATCGTCATCCTGATCATGAGGTTGGTTGACGCCGACGAGCTGACGGGACTGTGCTACGTGGGCAACCAGAACCTCGACGCCTTGACTGGCTTTGTGGTGGCCCCCCTTTTCACCTACTTGGTCATCGGCACCCTCTTCATCGCGGCTGGCTTGGTGGCTTTGTTTAAGATCCGGTCCAACCTCCAAAAGGACGGGACCAAAACGGACAAGCTGGAGAGGTTGATGGTGAAGATTGGCGTGTTCTCCGTGCTTTACACAGTGCCGGCAACTTGCGTCATTGCCTGTTACTTTTATGAGATCTCCAACTGGGGAATCTTCCGCTACTCTGCGGACGCCTCCAACATGGCTGTGGAGATGCTCAAGATTTTCATGTCCCTGCTTGTAGGCATCACGTCTGGCATGTGGATTTGGTCGGCCAAGACGCTACACACTTGGCAAAAGTGCTCCAATAGACTGGTGAATTCGGGGAGGGTAAAGCGGGGAGCGAAAAGGGCGGCGGACGGGTGGATGAAGCCCGGGAAAGGGAACGAGACAGTGGTATAAAGAAAGGACAGGGACCAACAAATTCTATTTCCTTCACCTCCCCAGTGCAGGAGGAGCTGGCGGGATAGCAGCACCTGGAGAAGGAGCGTTGGAACGAATCCTTTATTGAGAAATATTTGAGTTTTTGCAGAATTTTGAAGGAGGAGAGGAGAGCAGCAAGGGAATTCAATCACGCTGGGGGAGGGGGAGGCTTCACGAAGTTGTGAAGATAAAGGGCAGAGGTGTCTATCAACAAGCAGTGGTTTTAGGATTTGTGGGCCTCCTGATAGCGCACAATGTGCCTTCTCTCACTCCCTTCCTTCTTCCCCTTATCCCGTTCTGACTCACATCAATCACTGTCTTGTATAAAATAATACAAGAGAATAAAATGGCAAGAGGAAGGAATTCCTAGGAATCCCTTGCAAGGTTTGGGGAGAATTGCTGGTGTCCGGGAATTTTGAATCCAAGGTCTCTCAACTTGGATAAGGGATGATGTCCAGAGCTGCAGAAAGTTGCAGTTTAGGGTGCAAACTTTGGAATTCTTCAGAATTCCTTCAAACACAAACCAGAGAAAGGTCTCCGTTTCAAGCGAAGAAGTCAATTTGCCTTTAGCGTCCTCAGACTAAAAAACGTTGAAGGTTTTAGGCTGCATTTGGTGTGAGGAAACAAACATGGAATGGAAACAGGATGCGTTTCTAATCAGGATGAGCCCCAAATGACATCATGATGTCACAGTGCAAGAGATAAGGTCATCAAATCCAGGAAACCCTTTACCTTGATAGATTTCAAATAAACTTTCAAACACAATAGTTCCAAGCAACTTTAAGGACAAATAGCTGCAGGATTTCTTTTCGTATTTCGTTTCAGCAGTTACTAAACAAGATTAACTTTCAAACGTCACAGGAGGATAACAGTGATAACCCAATCCCCTGCAGGGGCAACAGCTGGTTTTTAAGTTCTGGGGGGGGGGGAATTTTGAGAGATGCAGAAGTTCTTTCCTTTAAAACAAAACACCGAAGCATAATGCATCTATTTTCCTTCTTAATTTAACTTTCAAGTCTCACTAAGAAGTTGCTGGCGGAAGTTTGGCTCAGGAATTAAACTTTTAGCCTCCGCTATCGAGGCGGGAGTTTAACATTTTCCAAGAAATGGAACAATTCTTCCTTTTTTTTTTTTTTTGAACTAAATCCCCACTTTTAACAAATGTCTGGCAGCTTTTTCCAAATTGGAGGCCCGAAGGCATCCGATATGTGGCGTTTCCTTTGTAGAGCTTAGGGCTTAAAATGTTTAGCTGGTTTTTATTCTCAGAAAGGCTAAGGGGTAGAGGTGGGGACTTTTCAATACCCATTGCCATGATTTAAATAGCATCTTCAAAATTAAGCTTTTGGGGGCCTGTTTTCGTGTTTGTCAACCTTGGTCCCCTTTAAGAGGTGTGGACCTCAATTCCCAGGCTATCTCAGCCAGCATAGCATGCTGGCTAGGGAATTCTGGGAGTTGAAGTCCGTACATTTTAGAGCAGGGGTATAAAACTCGATTCCATTGAGGGTTGCATCAGGGTGGTGTTTGACCTTGCGGGGCCAAGGGTGTGGGCATGTCTGGGGTGGGCATGGCCAGCTCAATGTCATTTCTGTCGGGGGACACCTGTGGTGGCCCGGACTGGGCTCGGGTGATCCATTGTCTCCAGCGGAGGAATTTCTCAATGCCTCCTTGCCTTGTGAATAAATGCCATTTTTGCTGGAAATTTGTTTTTGCTAGCCCTCTGCCAATGAAATCGGAGCTCTGGAGGGGCGCGTGCGGGCCCCTTGGGCTCCGT